AACGCCCTACCCGCTGTGCTATCGCTCCAGCCCTTGTTTTTTAAAATTAAATATACTCTATTTTTTAAAAAAAGAAGAAAAAGAAGTCAAGATATTGGCAGGATCCATCATGTCTGCCTGGAGGGGAAAGGGTGTTGCTCCCTTCCGCCCTCTCCCCTCTGGAAAGAAAGATGGCGGCCGCCTGGGAGCCTTGTGGACAGCGGGTATGAGCCGGGGGTCAGGGGCGACAAAAACCTCATGGGAAGGGGGGCGTTCCAGTCCGTCCTTCACGCCCTACCGAGGTCACCAGTTGCTCCCCACGAGAGGCTCTCCAGCACGGCCACGACTCCAGAGCACAGAAACCAATCTCTTAATTATCTGACTCTCAGTAGAAATACTTCTAGGGTTAATAAGTAAAATAGCAGAAATCCAAAACCAATCCAAAATTGCAGACATCATTTAATTCTTGAAGCCAGCTGTAGAAGGCAAATCATTTCACAATGCTTTTTCAGCATGTCTGGTTTGGGGGTGTAAACTCTAAATAATAATGGTGCATCTTTTATCGAAACAATGAATCTAGTCAAAGTAGATAGAGTGTTAACTAGAATTCATCTGCCTCACAGGCATTGGGGTGGGTGGGGGTGGGGGGTTATTGGGGTTCTTCGTGGTGAAAAATAAGTATTGGTAAAGGGAAATGTGTTTGATATTTGCATGACCGAGACCTAAACGTGAAAGCTCTGTAACTTTTCCCACAGTGATTCAATAAATAAATAAATAAATAAATTATAAAAAAAAAAAAAGATATTGTCAGGATCACACTCCTTGACCCCTGGAAGTTCAGAGGGGGTTTCTTCCTTGTCTCTTCTTTTTTTCAACTGAATCACCATAATATACAATTACAAAGTTTTTATGATTGAGTTTCAGTCATATAATGATTGAACACCTATCCCTCCACCAGTGCACGTTTTCCACCACCAATGTCCCCAGTATCCCTCCCGCCACCCCCACCCCCTGCCTCTGTGGTAAACATCTTCCTTCTTTCTCTCTCCCTAACTTGGGGCATCCCGGTTTGCAATACAGATACTGAGAACCTTGCCTCTTCTTAGACTCTGATGATTCCCAGTAATTTTTTGCATTCTTTGGATCACAGCTGCATTATTTCAACCTGTAACCTGGTCATGTTCTCTATGTCTCCTCTTTATTCAAATATCTCTCACATTACGAGGCACTCATAATTTAGGGTCCACTTCTGTCCAACATGACTTAACCGTAACTGGACTTGATTTGCAGATGATATTTCCAAGTAAGGTCACATTCACAGGCACTGGCATTAGGACTTCAACATACCACTGGGGAAGGAGAACACAAGACTATCCCCAGTGGATTCCTGCTATCAGCAAGTAGTAGAAGACAGTATCAAAGTATAATGAAAATGCATCCTTCCCATATGAAAATTGTGACAACTCATTTCCCGACTCAGTAACTTCATCCCACATAGTACAAAATGCTAGCAGGTATCAGTGATTCAGTTTGTGGGCATGTGTAAGTGAATTGGTAAAAAAAATGGTTGACTTAGATTAAATCAACTACTCTGTGTCATGTCCTTTGATTAGTACTAGAGATACAAGAAGAAATAGGCACCAGTTCTTTGGTGGAGTTCATTCTGGCAGCTTGAACAAAGTCCATGACCTTGATAACAGCAACATAAATTAAGCAAGCCAGTTATGTTTACTACCTCAATCAGTATAAGAACTGGAGCTGGAGCAATAGTACAGTGCAGCGGAGGAGAGCACACTTGCATGCATGGTGACCCAGGTTCAATTCGTGGCATCCCATATGGTCCCCAAGCACTGCCAGGAGTAATTCCTGAGTATAGAGCCAAGAGTAACCCCTTAGTATCACCCAGTTAACCTCCCCAATAACTTCTAAAACCCTCACTAAGTAAACAATTTATATATTTATATATATAAAGCTTGTATATTATGTAACTTTTTATACATAAATTTATAATATATATCTTTTAAATATTTATATAAATATATTTTTTACATATATAATTTATATATACTACCCATTAAACAATACCTATGAAACTTGAGAGTATTATCTCCATGCTTAAGTTTTAAGACAATTGTTCATATATCTTTGGAATACTGAAGAAGAAAAGTAATTATTGCTTACCTGGCTTTGGTTTTTTGTTTTGTTTTGGTTTGGTTTGGGAGACACACCTGAGGGTGCTCAGGGCTTACTCCTGGCTCTGTGCTCAGGAATTATTCATGGCAGGGCTCAGAGAACTTTATGTGGTTCCAGGAATTGAACCCAGGTCAGGTGTGTGCAAGACACACACTTCTCCCACGGTACTATCTCCTCGATGTTTTGATTTTCTTGCTTCCAGTCTTACCCCTCACCAAATAAGAACTAGAAACATTTGTTTTGCTTGGGTGCCATTAGGTGCAAATCACTATGGCCAACACTTGGAGCTTCCATTTTAAGTCTTCATTCTCAACCACTCTGGACATGTTTCATATACCATAGAATTGCTTCAGTATTAGGAACGAAAGGGATCATTTATTACCAGCATTCAAATACCTTGTTTTTATAGATATAAGAAAGCTACAGACTGTGACTAGCCCACGGCATACAACTGTAGAAGTCAGTACCACAAGCTTTTTCAGACTCACAACCCTGCCTGTTTGCAGTGACCCATTCCCAGAGACTAGGAGGTGCCTAGTAGATAGAGAATACTCAGTAAAAGTGCCGAGTGAAAAGACAACAATTTGAATAATGAGCTCAAATAAAACCTCTTCTAAATGCTTTTTCCACTGTCATAATGCTCTTCAATTTTATTTTGGTTTTGGGGCCACAGCTGGCAGTTCTTAGGGGCCACCCCCAGCTTTGTGCTGTGTGGTACCGGAAGTCATTTCTGGTGGGGCTCTCAGGGACCATGTGGTGCTAGAGTTCAGAGCTGCTCTTCAACTTGTAAACAGATTTATTATTTTCATTTTTCAAGGGAGCTTTTTTAGCTTCAGGGTCGTCTAACAAATGTTCAGGCAGCGTCAATTAATTTTTATTTATTTATTTGCAATGGTGGGGTGGGGGGTTAGTCATATCTGGTAGTGCTCAGGGCCTGCTACTGGCTCTGTGCTCAGGGATCACTCCTGGTGAGGCTCAGGGAACCGTATGTGGTGTTGGATCACGAGAATCAGCTGCTTGCTAGGCAAGAGCCTTAACCTTTGTACTATTTCTCCTGCTCACTAATTAAAAAAAAAATTAAAAAGAATAGTTTGTGTATCAGGTTACCCAATCTTCTCAGTTTCAGCTCTCAACATCTTTTGGTCTTTGTACCTCCTACAAATTCGAGGAAGAAGAGCTAAATCACAGCTTTTGCTCCTATTCACCCAGCGAGTCTGTACTAGTAGCTATTCTTCGGTCCCAGCTGTTGTGCTAAGTTTAGGATTTTGGATTATCTATAACTATTCTGTCTCTCAACACCCAAGTTAATTGAGAATTGTACAAGGAGTGCAATTTTCGGTTTATAAATGACAATACAATATTCTGGAATATCAAAGACAAATCCCTGAACACTTGGAACCATTACACAAAGGCAGGGTTGCATTTCTCAGAAATTGCATCTTTAGAAAAGGAGATCACTTCAATGCAAGTGAAATGTGGGCCAAAGTAGTAGTCCAGTGCTCAGAGGCCATGTAGTTGCCACACCAGATTGAGTTCCAAACCAGGGCGTCGTCTCTTCTAGTCAGATCATTGAATCGCAGGTCTGGGGCCCCCACTCCCTGAGTACTTTCCCAAACTAAAAACCAATTTATTTTAAGTAAATGAAATGACATCCTCTTGTGTGTTTTTTGTTTCAGTTATCTTAGGGATATTTGATCATTCCAGGTGCACGTGTAGTTTCATCTAGAAAATATTATATCTTTACAATAGAAACGTCTTTGGTAGAAATGAGTCCTCACAAGACAAATGCCAATCTTGCATTTATAAAAGCAATACATATGCATTGTAAATTTTGGAAATCATAGAAAAGTACCAAAATTTAACTAAACCAATCACTTTTAGGCGTATCCAGTTCTTTCTAGCTGTGGTTTTTAATATGCAGAATTATATCTTACACACATTCACACATACACAAATTCCAGCTGTGGTTCTAATACTGACTTGTCACGCATGCATGCTTCAAATCTCATAATTCTCTCTCTCTCTCTCTCTCTCTCTCTCTCTCTCTCTCTCTCTCTCTCTCTCACACACACACACACACACACACACTCCCCCCACTCTTTGGAGAGCAATGCATGCATGCTTTTTGCTTCTCTTTGACTGTTTTGGGCTCCCCACCCCGCAGGGGCTTTGTGTAGGAACCCAGGATCTAGTATCCCCCGCTCATCTCGGGGTTGCCTCTTTTATTAATTACAGCGGAGACTTGTCATCGGTACTTAAGTGATGACACCATCCCAACACGAAATGTCATCATGTCATATTGTTATAGCACAACAACAAAATTACAGTTCCCTAACCATAACACGGGTGTCAAAAGTGTCCTCCTGCCGTGAGTCAGTGTTTTGCTGTTATTAAAAGTTATTTTTAGCTCGGCCAATGCCTCGGGGAGCTTGGGGTGCGCAACCGGCCCAAACCCGACGGAAGAAAACTGGGGTGGGCGGAGGGGTAGAGACCCGGGGTCCCTCCCTCCCCCGGCCCGGCCCCCGGCTCAGGGTCCGGCCCGCGGCGTGCCCTGGCTGGGGTCGCCCTCTGCGGGGGCGGAGACCCTACACTCCTCCCGCGGGGTCCCGGGAGCGCCCGCCCGCTCCGCCGCCCCCGCAGCCGGCGCCGGGACGCGGGCGTTGCCATGGCAGCGGTGGGGCCGTCGGGGAGGAAGTGACGACGGGGGCGGCGGCCGCGGGGCACGTGACCCGCCGTGTTTTGACAGGGCCGAGGGCCGGGCGCGCGGGCCAGACGGGGCCGGGGGCGGCGCGGACGCGGCGGGGTGCGGGGCGCCGGCACCGCCGAGGATGTGAGGCGCGGCGAGCCGGGGTCCGAGGAGCGGCGGGGCGGCGGGGCGAGGCGAGAACCCGGCCCCCCCCCGGGCCTGCGCGGGCCGGCCTCCTGCCCGCCACGTCGGTTCGGAGCCGGGCCCGGCGGGCACAGGTGAGGCGGCGGGCGCAGGGGCGCCGCGGGGCGGGCGGGGGGGTGGGGCGGGGGCGCGGGGACTCCCCCCGCCCCCCACGCCGGCGGCTGCCGCGGGGACAGATAGGCCCGACGCCGCTCGGGACGCGCGCCCGACAGCGGCCGGACTGCGGCGCGCCGCGGGCCGGGGTCGGCTCGCTCCCTCGGTCTCTGTCTCTCTTGTCCCTCTTGTCTCTGTGTCTGTGTCTCTGTCTCTCCCCCTTCTCTCTCTCTCCTCCTTCCCTCCCTTCCTCCCTCTCCCCTCCCCCAGTCTCTCTCTCTCTCCCCCGCTCTCTCCCCTCCCCCTCTCTCCGTCTCCCTCCCTCCCCCTCTCCCCTCCCCCTTTCACTTCCCTCCCCTCCCATTTCTCCCCTCCCTTCCCATCCCCTGGCCCTGCTGGAGTGTGGCCGGGTAACTGCTTAGAGAAAGAGTCTCTGTGTCTGTCTGTCTGTCTGTCTGTCTGTCTGTCTGTGTCCTCTCGCTCACTCGCTCTCCCTCTCCCCTCTCCTCCCAGCTCACCCTGCTCTGCCCTCCCGCAGCCTCCTAGACGCGGAGCAGCCCGGGCAGCCAACCCACGCGCGTGCGGCACCGGCCGGACTGACGGACGGACTGTCGGACGGACGTCGGGGGCGAACATGAAGCCCGAGCGAGGTACGGATCTCTCCCGGGGGGGCTTTTTGGCTCTTCTCCTCCGTGCCCGGGTTAGGGGCTTTGACCCTCGTCCCACGCGCGCGTGTGACTGCTGATGACTTGTTTCTGCTGCAGATCCAGGCTGGTGGGTGGGGGGTGGGGCCCCTTAAGCCGGGCACCCTTCGAAAGGGGTTGGAAAGGGGCGGTCTCCCGAGGGGGATCCTAGTGGAACTGAACATGGGGAAAATTCGTGTCTGTCGCTCCCTCACTGGGCGTGCTCCTAGAGCACATTCCGAATGTTTTCAGTCGAAGTTCACTTTGGAAGCTGACCCTCTTTTGCAGCTTGAAGATTTGAACTTGATACATTGAGAAGGTGCAAGGTAGTTTGCATTGACGAATACTTTTGAAAAAAGAGTTGGGGATTATTTTTGTAGCATCATCTCTATGCATAAAAAAATTATTATCTGTGTTGCTGTTTAGCAGGTTGCTTATGTAGCAGGCCAGATTAGACGTAATATAGTACATCAGTGACTTTGGAAAAGTGGCACTGAGGTCGGTAATTACACCTCAAAGTAAGCGAATAAAATCAAAGTCACTGTTTGTTTTGAATTTAACAACATAAGCATTTTTTCAAAAGGGTATGGCGAGCCAGAGCTATGGTACAGCAGGTAGGGTGTTTACTTTGCACAGAGCCAACCCAGATTCCATCCCCACACCCTCCTTGGTCCCCTACCCTGCCAGGAGTGATCCCTGAGTGAGCCAGGGGTGAGTCCTGATTCTTAAGCACGCCAGGTGTGACCCCCCCCCAAAAAAAGGAAAATGGCATGCAGTCTCTTATTTTAGCCGAAATTAATATTAAGCAGTAACATGTCATACACTAATGAAATATGAAGAAAAGAATAAATTAGTCATGCTCTTTAAAAAATTGACTGTTGGGGGTTGGAGCGATAGCACAGCAGGGAGGGCGTTTGCCTTGCTCACAGCAGACCCAGGTTCGATTTCCAGCATCCCTTATGATCCCCCAAGCACCGCCAGGAGTAATTCCTGAGTTCATGAGCCAGGAGTAACCCCTGTGCATTGCTGATGTGACCTAAAAAGAAAACAAAAATTGACTCTCTTCCCTTTAAAATTGTAATTTTCATAGGACTGGAGAGATAGTATAGTGAGTAGGGTGCTGGCCTTAAATACGGTTGATCCCAGTTTGATCCCAGGTCCCCCAAAAGGTCCCCCAAGCCTTGCTAGGAGTGATCTCTGAGAACAGAGCCAGGACTAAGTCCTGAGCAACATCAGGTATGACTCAAAGTAAATAAAGATGACAACAAGAACAATTAAATTGTAATTTTCATTAGCACGATCATGAGATAAATGATGGGATATAAACTTAGTATTACTATTTCTTTGTAATAATACCACCTTTTAGGCTCTTGGTTCTTATTGTTGCTGACCCAAAATAATCTTACGTTTTGCAGAGAAGCATAGAAATACTTCAGTTTTGCAAAACATATTTACTATGTGCAGTAAATATTCTATTTCTGTTTTTAAAATTTGCTGTTACAACTCATTGAATTTATTTCATCCTCATTTTTTTCCACTGGGGAAGCGGGAAATTAAGCCTGTTGTCTCATACATGCCAGGTATGTTCTTTACTGCTGAGCCTGAATCCCCAGCCTATGAAATCCTCCCTCCCTCCCTCCCTCCCTCCCTCCCTCCCTTTTTCCCTCTGTCTCCTCTTTTCCTTCCTTCCCTTATTTTCTTTCCTTTCTTCCCATTCTTTCCTTCTTGTCTCCCCTCTCTCTCTCTTTCCACCCCCCCCCCCCACCCGCCTCTCTTTCTCCACACCTGGTGGTGCTCTGTGGTTACTCCTAGTGGTGCAAAGCAGATTCCCCAGCTTTTTGAACTATCTACTGGGCCTCTGAATTGGTTTCCTGGATTGAGGCCCACCTGGAGGCCCACAGGGGTGAGTCTGGCGGTGCTGGGTGTCAAAGCAGGGTGGCTACATGCAAGGCCAGGGCTTTAACTCCTCCTGCACCTCTCATGGCCCCTCTGACCTTCTGTTCGAAAGTCACAGTAGCAGTAAATTTCATTTTCTGCATTAGTGTCTTAAGAAACTATTCTATATATGTGATTTTTTTGGATTGTTGAAACTTTACTCTTTAAATGCTAAGCATATTTTATATTTTGTGATCATCTACACAGATTATATATTACATTATATATTTTGTATGTTATTTATAATAGACTATTAGAAATATGTTTGAAATCTAGGAAGATTTGTTTATTTTAGTTGATTGATTTTGCTTTTTGGGTCACTCCCAGTGCTGTTCAGGGGTTACTCCTGGCTCATGCACTCAGGGATTACTCCCGGCGGTGCTTGGGGGACCATATGGGATACCAGAGATCAAACCCAAGCATTTGCTGCAAGTGCCCTCCCTGCTGTACTGTTGCTCTGGCCCATAGGAAGATTTCTTTTTTTGGCTTTTTGGGTCATACCCAGCGATGCTCAGTGGTCACTCCTAGCTCATGCACTCAGGAATTACCCCCTGGCGGTGCTCAGGGGTCCATAGGCGATGCTGGCAATCGAACCTGGGTCGGCCGTGTGCAAGGCAAACGCCCTATCTGCTGTACTATCTCTCCAGCCCCCCATAGGAAGATTTCTAATAGAATAATGCTGTCTTGCCGTCTAAAGAAATAAGAGTATATGAAGTCAAAGTGGTTTAATCTTGATGATAAAGGGGCATTATTATAAATTTCAATTCTGTCATAATCTAGAAATACCCTGAAGAGATATTTATGAAATTTTTCTTTTGGCTTCTAGCATAAATTCTTTCAGCTAGTATTTGTGGGACATAGGTAGACATCTGATTTTTAAATTTCCACGTTGTCAAGTCTTTGTTGATGACAGGCTTCTTTCTGCCTTTTAATTTCACTGCTTTTTGTCTGTGAACTAGAAATTGAGAAAACTATGCTTACCACTGAGTTTTCTATAAAACGAGTAAACGGAGAACTCTTCAGATACTCAGAATCTTGTTAAAGTGTGTGGATTGCAGTGTTGTAGTTTTGTGATTTGAATATTTACTTAAATAGACTGCTCTAGAAAGCTTCTAAATAAGTGCAGTGGCTGGGAATATTGCTCAGTACACCTGAGACCCTACTTATCAGAAAATAAAATTGGTCATGTGTTTTTCTGTTCTGTTTTGAAAATCACTGTCACAACTCACTGAATTGATTTCTTGAGTAGTAATTGGAAAGGCACAGCAGCAAGCAACGTTTAGGAGCCTCTTACCAAAACCGGAGATGGCAGCTGATTGTCCAGTCAGTAAAGACAGTTTAAATCAGGAACCATAAAAAAGTAACAGCCTTAATTATTTAATCTGCCTTTTGATGTTGGATCAAGGCCCCATTTGGGGTTAACTTTTTTTTTTACAGAGTTAGAGATGGTATTTCTAGTATAAACCACATCAGTGATGTACAACTAAAATTTATGCGTTTTATTTCTTAATATTTTATTACTTTGGTTTGGGGGCTATACCCAGTGGTGCTCAGGGGTTCCTTTTGGCTCTGCATTCAGGGGTCACTGGTGGGCTCATGAAACCATTTGGAATATTGGGGGTTGAGTCCATATCAGCTGTGTGCAAGTCAAGTAAGTGCCTTATACACTGTAAATATTTACTCCAGCCCTTGGTTTTGATTTCTTTAAAGTGGAGTAAGACTGCAGAGTAATCAAGAGTGTGTCGTCTTTTAGTTAAAATTCTTTAATATTAGTTTTTAACCTAACACAGTTTTATAAGTATCTGTGTATAAGAATCATGTATACCTTAAGTCAGTGGAAATTTGTTTCAGAGGGAGAGGAAATACATATTCGTCAAAATTATGTAAATCAAAGTATCTTCCCAATGCATTCAAAGTTTCATAGCAATAACTTCTGCATACCTTATTGGTTTATATAATTAATTATATTAGAGTGGCATCTACAAGTTTTGGGAGGAAAATCATGTTCTTGTTAAGCATACAACTCAACTAATAGAAGTAGAAGTGTGAAGGCGATTAGATAGTACCCTTCTAGCCATTAGTTTGCTTTTAGAGAAGATCTGGAAACATTGGTTAGTTTTGCTAGTTGATGGGAAAGTCTGTTAGGAAAGTTTCTAGTATACTTTCAGAGAATTAAAATATTACTGCATAGTGTTGTGACTGTATTTCACAGTAACCTGAATTTTATCATGATCTAAAGGTAAAATTTTAATGTTAGGGGCCTGGAGAGATAGTACAGCAGGTAGGACATTCACCTTGCACATGGCCAATCTGGGTTTGCTCTCCAACATCAATTATGGTTCTCTGAGCACTGCCAGGAGTAATTCCTAAGTGCAGCACCAGAAGTGAGCCCTGAGCATTGCTGGTGTGGCCCCAAGACAAAACAAAAATTGTTTTTTAGCAGTCTTATTTGGGTAACATTCCAAAGATGAGTACTTTTGGGTCCTAGGACATCACGGGAGTGACTCCATACTCCAAATACTGTTTGGGAGATTCCTCCTCTTCTCCCCCCAAAAATGCAGAGCACAAATTCTGGAATTAGGACTGTATATTCTTGTTCAGTTAGTTGTTAGCTATGTGATCTTCATCAGATTACTTAATCCCTGAGTTTTTTGTAAATGGGGATCACACCAACAGTTTCATAAAGTATTATATATTAGAATGAAATGGGATAGTAGTTAGCACATAGAAACATTAAATTGTAATTTTCATAGCTTTTGTGGTGGTTGTTAAAGAAGAAACTATAGGTCCGTTTATGTGTTCAGCTACAAAATGTGTTCAGCAGCAGTCAGGGAGCTCGTAAAGGCAGACTTGGGTTGAATCCCTGGCGTTGCGCATGTTCTCCTCTGCGTTGCCACCCGAGATCCCTGCGCAGTCAGGAATGGCCCCTGCACCCCACTGAGTGCCCCAAGCCCATCCGCCAGTCCCTAAAACTGCTTCCAACAGAGGTAAAGAAAAATTAAATTGTGCAATAGCCTAACATTTTATTTTTG